AATATGGAGTTGAAATCTCTGTTGACATAAACTAGAGCACTGCTCTCATTTATAGATGGGAAAACTTTTTAAGGATCAGGAGCAGAACTGGGATTGGAAATAATCTGTTCTAATTTCAAGTCAGAAGTCTCTCACAAATGACTATTGATTGGCCAGCATGGCCTGACCCTGGATGAGAGGGTAGGGTTATAGTAGTAATTTCTTATGATTGAACAACCCAAGCCAAAGTATGGAATTAAAGTAAATGTATTGATTGAAGCATTGATTGTAACTGCAAAATATTGGAAAGTATCAAAAGGCCCAAAGAGGAGAGTGTTTGAAGAAATGATATACATTTATACAGTGAAGTACTATGCAAATGATTAGAGAATGAAGAAGATGTGTATGAAGTGACGTAGATGACTTACAGAAACAATGTAAAGATAAAAATGTCAGATGTCATCAAATGGCAGAATAGATGGTCCCCAGCATCACTTTCCCCAACAACTGACCAATTATAACTATTAAAAAGCAAAGACTGCCAACCTGGGACTGCTGGGGCTTGTGAAGAAGAGTCCTACAGAGATTGTGAAGACAGGAGAAGCCACAGCAAGAAGGAGAAAGGACTTCTCTTACCATTTCAAGCTCTGGCAGCTTCAGGGCTGGTCCAGTGAGGGGTGGGAAGAAGCTTCAGGATGCAGAACAGAAGCCAACAAAAGCCACAGCTGTGCCTTTTGCATGAAGTTGCCTGGAGTCTGCAGGGGAGAAGAGGGCCTCAGAGTGTGCCATACCAGCCCCCAGGCCAGCAAGACCACTGACCCACATAGGAGCAAGGAGCTGCAGGTGACCAAAGAAAGGAACCACCCAGAGTTTGGTGAGTCATCGTGAAAGACTCATGCATTGCCCACCCCACAGTAAGCATTTGCAGTGCAGGAGGGTAAAAGGGGGGAGTCTGACTGAAGAGGAGTACGTTGCGGGGCAGCATGGGCAGCAGTTCTCCCTACCAGTCAGCACAGGCCCACTGAGTGGAGATTGGTCAGGGCAATAGAACCATAGGTGTGCAGTTTGCTGGAAAGGCTCAGTCTCAGGTGAGAATTTCTACACAGTCCAGGTGTATCTGACTTCACAAAAGCTGGAAGTGATTAAAAGGCCAAAAATTAAAATCTGATCCACACAAAAGCCTTCCTCAGACAATCAGCAGCAAAGCAACAATTTAGCTCACCCACTTCAAGTGCTGAGCCCCACAGGGAAGGTCCTCTAATTTTGAAATTAACTAAAGGACAACAAATTAGTTCCAGTGCAGAGTTTAAGTGGGGGTGGGAATTAACAATCAACCACAGAAATGAAAAGAAAAAAATAAAAAACCCACAAACCAGACACAAAACTCTGATATGAACCAGTAATGGTCTAACACCACCAAAGAACACCTATAAATCATAGAAGAGATTGTAGTCTCCTCAAATCCCCAGGCATCAACATAAAGACATAAAGATCAAGAAAGAACAGAGAAACATGACACCAACAAAGGAAAGAAACAAAACAAAACACCAGCAATGAAACTAGAGCAACAGTGGATGTATGAAATGTTTGACAGAGAATTCAGAATAACCATTTTAAGGATTTAATGGAGTCATGAGAAAACACACATAGAAAATTAAATGATATCTGGAAAACGATCCAGGATCAGAACAAGAAACTTGACAAAAGAATTGAGTTGATTAAAAAAATAATTTATTTTTAAATCTAGAAATAAAGAATACATTGTCAGAACTGAAAAACTCGATAGAATTATTCAAAAGCAGACTTACTCAAACAGAGGAAAGATTCAGTAGAGTCAAAGATAGAAATAATCAAATCAGAGGAGCTAAACAAAATCAAAAATGAAACAGAGATACAGCAAATATGAGACTCCCTACAAGGAAATAACTTCTGCATGATTGACATACCCAAAGGAGAGGAAGAGGAAAGAGATGTATACAAAGCATATTCAAGAAAGCAGTTGCTGAAAATTTCCCAAGTAAATAGGAAGATGACAAACCCCAGGAGGGCTGAAGAAAATGTGTCTTGGAAGTCAGCACTTGGGCCACCCAAAGTGGGTGTAGCCAGGAGCGACATCCTTGTCCCTGACTCTATGTTCTAAGCATGAGCAGTGACCCTAACGCACCATTACTGGCACCTTCCAAGCCCAACATATCAAGTGTAGAAAGGAAAAGAGACTGAAGTGTCTCATGGTAAGCACAGGTAAAACTCTCATGGCAACTGCCAGGCCCCATCATTTCTATCTTTAGCAGGACTGGTGGGTGGGTGTGGCCCTCTAAGAATTGCCTTGGCCCAATCTTGGTGCCATACCAGGGGTTGGGAAGCCCAAGCTGAGTAAAGTAATTCTGACATGGGTAGTTCCAACTGATTCTTTTCTGTGCTAGGCAAGAGCCTAAGACCTTGGCAGAGGTACGGCTAGGCTGGTCAGGAGGCCATGTTAGGTGTTTATTTGAGGCCCAAGCAAGTTAGGGCATTGATTTACCTGCCCTAGAGGCTGGAAGATAAAGAGTAGAAGAAAATGCCAAAAAATTGCTTATATGTGCAAAGCTATGAGGAGCTCCTACCTCATTGATGGACTCTTGGGGATCATGACACTCACAGGTGAGTGTACAATGCTGCTCTCTTTTCTAAAATTCAGATGATGTGTTCACCTATTCACTAAAATTTGCTTCACCCAAGCAGTTGTACCATTATATCCCCAGTGTGTAGCCCTCCACCTAACACATAGGTAGCACTCGGTAAACATTTTGTCGTTTTGTTAAATAGTGCAGGAAAGAGATCTAAGCCAATGACAAATTATAACTTCTTTCAGCCTCAATTTTCCCAGCTGAAATGATAAAAATTGATCAGTTATACTCAGAGTATGGGCCCGAAAATATACATATATGTGAATGAGCTCGAAAAAACATATAAATGGACCCTTCTCCCTTAGCATTGAAGTGAAAAGAAATGTTTCATGTGAAGAATCAATTATTAAACATTTTCAAGCATATATAGTTAGTCCCAGTCACATTTTCACTATAACAGCCAATTAGGTTAAAAACTGGCAAATTGAAATAATAAAATAACTCTTACATACCCCCAAATTATCTCTCTATAGGTCCGTTTTGATATCCTTATTGAGCATTAATTGTATGTCAAGCACTGTAGATAGACCACTTATCAAAGGAAAGACTGTGATCTCACAGAAGAGATACTTAACTCAGAGAAGTTAATTTCTGAGACACACAATTACTAAGCCCCTGAACCAGGATTTGAATCCAAGACACTTGCTGTGAAGTCCAAGTTCTTTCCCTTCCCACTGCAGGAATTACTCCATTAGTGATTTCTTTGCAGCTGGTGGGCACCAATGAAAATTCAAATACCTCTCATGCAACTTGCCTCAGAAACCACACTGCGCCAGTGCCTCGGGGCCCGCCCGGGGACCCAAGGTATGGAGTCGGGGACTGGACACCCCCCACCACCAGGCACACCACCGGCACCAAGGAGCATGCCAAAAACATCACCTCCATGTGGGTGGCCCAGCACAGCCACCACAGTAATCATGGCTGCCGCAAAAGCAGCTAGATGCCACAACCACCACGTAGATGGTCCACCAGCCCCTGGAGTGCATTGACACAAGGAGAGTCACCAGCAGAGATAAAGGAAACAAGAGGACATCTCTCTCTGCAAAGCCCATTC